GAATTCTGGATTTAACAGGAAGCCAAAACAGGAGAAATCTGCTCTCTCTTTCTAGTCCCTGTCAGGACTCTTGCTGCAGCATTTTGGATCAGCTGAAGGCTTTTCAGGGAGTTTTTAGGACATCCTGATAATAATGAATTACAGTCGTCCAGCCTGGAAGTAATAAATCCCGTCTGCACTTACTGTAGTATTATGTGCAGTAATACTAATACAATGTGGGTCCTGGGAGTGTTACCGGTCTTGGAGCAGCTCTGTCTGTCACTCTCTAGGAAGTATCCGTCAGCACAGCCACACTGAACTCCAGCGCCACCTGCCAGGTCTCTGCAGTACTGCATACAGCCACCATTTCTATAGTGGCACTCCAACACCACTACCCAAGGCAATTTTCATAAATATTTCATTTGTCAGGTGTCATTTGCTCGATTTAAAGGTGGTGTACCTGAGTTTCAGGTGTTTGTTACCTGTGTTGCAGATCTTGCCCTGATACTGGGGAGGACAAAGACACGTGAAGTCTCCTCGGTCCAGGGTGCACATGCCTCCGTTCAGACAGGGGTTGGTCCCACAGGGGTTCAGATCTAAGACACACAGGTGAGGAACTCAGCTGAGTCATTGGTAGAAGACACCTGATCAGATTTCAGACTGTAGTCAGACTAAAGCACATCCAGCTGAGCTGCCACAAACTGAGTGACTGGGTTGTTCGTACTCACTTGTGTATCTGTACCAAAACTCCATCTGTGGGACAAGGACTCAGAGTTAGTGACTGCAGCTGTGGTTATGTTGAACGACTGTGTAAGAGTCTGCAGACACGACAACGCTCTGCATCCTGTGTGTGCACAGCTAAGCTGATCTCCTGCTCTGTAATCGTCCTGATTCGTGTCCGGGATGAACGAGGGTGATGTTTTCTGATGACTTCCATCATTTCAGCTGCTTCCTCTACACACACTCTGCTAGCTACACACCCTTGACTAGAACTACGTCGAAATCCTTATTTAAGCATTTAGCTCCACCCGCTGAGGGTCAGGTTTTGGGCCCAGCATCATCAATCAGGACGAAGCGGTCCTCTCTGGGTTAGCACGGGTCTGTGGTGCTGACTTTGCTTTAATATATGTTTAAATAAAGTAACACGGTGGTAATCTGCTGCGTGGGCGGCGGTGGGCTTCGTACCGTCTTCTCCTGGGTCTGGAAGATCTCTGTGGCCTCCTCCAGTGAGCAGCGCTCCTCGTAACACTCCCGCTCCAGGTTCCCGGGCAGCATCTCCTCCAGGAAATGCGAGTTGGCTCGTCGCCTCCTGGAGGAGGAGCGCAGGATCTGGCCGGCCGCCGACCGATCCAAGAACACTGAGGGGTGGACAGAAAAACTGAAACACTCAGACTGTGCCGCAGAGGCGGAAAACACGAGCGTGGGTGTGTCTCACCTGAACACTGGATGAGCGCAGAGCAGACGAGCAGAGCGCCAACGCTCAGAGTCACGGCTGTGGACGGCAGCATGTCTGTCCGACGGCTGCGGGCAAAATGGAGGATGGAGGAGCAGCTGACGGATTGATGGTTAACCACAGCTCAAATATTGACACGCAGATGTCACATCAGCCGCAGAGACGACAACACGTCTGAACTCTTTTCTGCTGGAGTATTTTCATTGCTGACCTGTAAAGGTGAAAAGGTCAAAGGTCACAGCACCTTTTGATGATCCTGTAGGAAGCAGCTGTTCATGAAAATATTCCAAAGGCTTAAGAGGAACGGAGCCAACTCTGGAATAACCTTCAGAGCACCGACAGCGACACGTGCAGGGCCTGCTGAACAGAGTACACGTGGTACTGCAGTATCTGTACTGCAGTACAGATACTTTTAAAATTTGCATGTTATCGGCAGATGCTGCCATCAAGCGCTGTAAGATACATTGACCGCGCCTTCTTTCCCTCCGTCTCCATGGTGACTCGCTTAATCTGTGCTCTAATCAGGGCTTTATGTATCCTCGTGCATGCGCTTAACTTGGGGTTAAAGCAACTCCGCGTTGACTGAACTAATTGTTATCAGCCTTTCTGAAACCGAATATTCCGAGTTGGACAGTTCGGGGTTACTCAACCCTAAGTATCGTTTTTCACTCTGAGTTTTCTAAACCGGCTTCCTGAAATAGGGCCCTGATGTTTAAATGTTGTATCAAAGCGTAATTTGCACACAACAAGAGGATTGTCAGCAAGTGAATAAATTAACTGAGGCGTGCATGTGTTTCTTTTCCACAGTGAACCTCTTTAATGAACACGTTGTGCTGCGTAAAGAACAGATGTGTCTTTCCAGCTACGCATCATTAACAGCAGCCAGCTGCTTCTCACCTCACCTGACTCCACCATTAAAGATGAGAAACGTTTGTATAATAAAAAAAGTTAAAGCAACAGCAAACTCTGCTGATTGCAGAGCAGGAATCATCTCAGTGCTGCAGGCGGGCTGCTGATTTGTGTTTGCTCTGATTTGCTGCCAGCACTCGGGCAGCGCTTGGCATCTTTCCCGAGATCCTCTTAGGCACCTGCTGCTACAGGCCACTACTCATCTGGAAGGCTGGATTATGTCAGTGTGTGTTTGCATGAACTTTGAGAGGTACAAATAAACTTTTCCTACTTCTAATTTCTTTGCAGTTTGTAAATTATTTATTTATTGTGTGTGCCTGTGCCTCTGCATGTGAGTGTTTGTGCTCATCTGGGAGCTGTCGGCTCCCATTAGATGTACGTCTGAGATGGATCCATCACACAGCCATCACTCTGTCATTTTGCTTTCACACTCCACATGCTGCAAAAATGCCAATATCCAGAAAAGCCACAACAATCCAGAACTCAATACACATAACTGACAGTGAGACCCATGAACCAAAGCACAGGGTCATACAGAAACATGAAGACAGAAATCAGACTCAACAATATCACACGGAATCAGACCTGATAGTTGAATAATAAGGAAATCCAAAACTTAGCCTGTATGAGAATCCAAAGTTAGGACGCTTGGAATAAACCCTCAGTAGAAGCCCAAGAATCCGATGCCTTCATCAAACAATTAAAAAAGAAAAAAAAACTTTAGAAAAAACCATGGGACCAAGACGGCAAGGAGAGGCTTCATTTCGTACTCGGTCGGAGTGTGGTGGATCTTAGTGTTTTGCTAAACATCATAAACCTGGGAGGAGGACGGTTCCACAGTGTTGGTGTTCCACTCATGTGTAAACTGTAAAAAAAAAAATACTTATGAGCAAAATGGTTGATTATGACATCTTATTAGTATAAATTACAGTGGACATTCCCATTGTCCTTCAAGGAGCAGACACATTTGGGCCTAATCAGTGCTGCTTTTGCACAGGTGCCAGTGACTGATTTAAAAGTTACACAAGTCCTCAGCTGGACTGAAAGTGGGTCACAGAAAGTTTTCATGGCTTAGCTGAGACTCAAATGTCACAACACACCTGACCCAAACAAGGTGGACTACTGGCTGAGTTTGACTTAACACTACCAGTCAAATAAAATGCAAATATGGATCATATTTGGGTTGTTGTTATCAGGCCAATATTCCTGGAAGGAGTCACTGCAGGTGAGGTGAAGAGCTTTTCTAAAGTTAACAGCTACACTTGTTACCACAGTTCCAGTGACAGCCTCCATCACCCCTCCACCTCTCCACCTGTTCAAGCAGAAAAGTGTTTTCTTTAACAGACCATAAAAGTTGATTTACTGGCCCAGGGAGGCCAAACTAGTGTGGACACCTTGAGGATTTTGCTCAGTAATTTAGACAGTTAATTCAAAGTCTTATCTAAACTAACTGGTTTTAATGATGGTGAAGGAAAACAATAATTTGTAGCTTTTCTTCCACCTTTTTTTTCTTCTAGCACCTTCTTTTCTCTTTTAAGTGGATTTGAAGTGTTTCTCTATGTGAGCTTTTCTCTGTATTATTTTAAGGTGTTCACCTTAAAGATAATAGTGATTTGGCAGTACCGGTATTTCAACAAAATCGAATAATTTTTGATCTGTAGCGGTTTCTTATAATGCCTTTAGTCAATCATTGTTACTTAAAATCAGCCCCAAAAATTAACACTCTGAAGACTTTCAACAAAATTCCAGTCAGTGCTTTCCCAGGAAGACAATAACAGGAAGCTCCCAATGTGTGAGTCTAAAGCCTGGTTGGTTTCATGACCTTGTTTCACTCATGGTAATGCAAACATTCACAAAGCAACTTTGTCGGTACCCCAAAGCTTTAGGTCTAGCTTTAGATGTAGCTTTAGTTCTAGCTTTAGGTCTAGCTTTAGGTCTAGCTTTAGGTCTTTTCTATGGTTGAGCTGCCTGATGGTGGTCATCCATCGCAGGCAGACCATACCTCGGATTCATGTTTCCATATTCTCAGCTGCTTTGTTGCTTATGTCGACTTTTCACCCGTACACATCAGTGTAAAACTGCGTTTGTATTTCACCATGTTGATGCATTAGACGTAATCAGTGAATATTACTTGTGTACTCTTTTTTTACACTTTGAATTTAAGCATGTGTCTTTCCTCAGACAGTGTTATTCAGCTCTTCTCTGACTGTCTCAGCCTGAAAAAAAATTGACTTTCAATCATGCAGATCAACCACCTTCCTCGGTGTGCTTTGTGGCTTCTCGTTGGCAGCACCTGAAAAGATCTCTGTTCGATCAAAATGCAGCACTATGAAATGAAATTTGCTGGGAGCATTTTATCTGTGCATGCATTGTCTGACTTCTGCCTTTGGCTTGTTTTTGATCGTCACAGCTTGTTTGTCTGAGGGAAAGTCGCAGTGATAATTAAAAGAAAAACTCTGATTGTTAGTGGGAAACAAGACACGAACAGGCCTCTCTTGTATCAAGTTCACACACTTTGTCAACACATCCATCCACCTGAGCCACTTCACTTTAAAAGCAGAGCTGCACCTTATCAAACATATGCAGCAAAAACACATTTCGATGCAGCAGGCTGGATACGTGAAAAACTCCACACCATAAATACTTTAAATGTCGCCATAGGAAGTTGAACTTTCTCAACTCCTGTTGTTGGATGTGTGATGACAACAAGCATGAAAAGCAAAAGAAATCTGGGAGTGAGAAGCAAAAAGAACTTGTCTCTGCTGCAGGGCACACACTCTAGGCTACAGAAGGAAATGTGAGTATGGATTCATTCATATTTCTGATGCTGACGTCAGTAGTTGAGTTGGAAAAAACAGAGTCCATTCACCCACACAAAACTTTCATGATATGAAGGTTTCAGAACTCAGAGGAACAACTCTGAATAAAAACATCTCAGAAGCAAAGTATGAATAAAGTTAGAGGGAACAAATATGCATGCATCAATACAGGAATCATGGGGTGTACTTAGTTTTTCATAGACTGCATAGAAACTAAGTACACCCCATTATTCAATAATAAGATGATAAGAACTTGTGTTGTTTGCTGTAAGCCTCTTTTAACAGAATAGCTTCAGTTCTTTGAAGTACATTCAGGAAATTTCTGTTGCAGATTTACTGCTGTGCTCAGGATCATTGCCCTGTTAATGACCCAGTTTGGTCCCAGCTTTAGCTGTGGGACAGACAGCCTCACGTATAGAAAACTCTAGAATACTTTGTTAAACAGATGAGGCCAATGAGTGACTGCAAGATGGTCAAACGATCATAACTGCGCAGCTGATCTGATGTGTTTGGTTTACGCCAAACCTGCTGCTGTGCATTATGGAGAGAATCTCCACCTTCTCAACAGTCCAAAGGACTTTATTACAAAAGTCTTGTTGTTTGTGCAGATGCAGCTTTACACACTCGGGCGCCCTGCTGGCACACCCTGGAGTTTCTCTGACCATTGCATGATCGGAACTTTGGATGAATTTTCTGCAATGTCCAAACCTAGGAAGATTGGTGTCATTTTATCACACACCTGTTAAGGTTTTAGGAATTTTTACCCAGACCGGTTAAATGCCACTTTTACAGAGTGGTCACAGAATCTCTTTAGCAGCTCCTGGGTCCTACTTACCCTCCTAATTCCTATAAAAGCAGGAAGGGTGTACTTAGTTTTTCAGAGTCCTTAAAGCTCCACATACAAACCTC